GGTGATATATTAATTTTTTAAACAAAAAAAAAAAAAAAAAAAAAAAATTAAATGATGAAAGCTGCCATTTTTTTCAACTCTTTTTTTCACCATAAAAAGAATAACAGAATTCTTTAAAACAAAACAAAAAAATTGTGCCAGAAAATGGAATATGTGTGTGATTTTAATGAAACAAAAAAAAAACAAGAGTGAGAGTGTGTGTGAGTGTGATTTAAAAAAATTTAAATAAAAAAAAAATCCCCAACACAAACAAAAAAAAATGTGATAATTTAACACCATAAACAAATTTACAAACAAACAAAAATGAATTAAAAAAAAATTCTCGTTAAAAATCAATGATGATGATCAAGTTTTGATTGATTGGATCGGATTCGAATAATTTGTTTCTGTCAATCATTCTTGTTGATCGTTATTTGATTGATTGATTTTTTTTTCAACCAACCCTACCTGATACACTAATTAATTTATTTGTTACACATATTTTAGGTTTATAAATTAATGAATGAATGAATGAGATTATTATTATTATTATCAAATTTTTTTTTTCTTCAAAACTTTCTGTGATCTCTTCTGGTCCTATCGATGTGTTTGTTTGTGTTTGTGTTTGATTTGGTTATGGTTATGGTTATGGTTATGGTTATATATAAGTGTTTGTTCTGAAATAGTCAATGTAATCAACGGAAACGGATATTCATTAGTAATGATAATGGAAATATATGGACTCCTAAGAAGAGATCTCAACAGGTGTGCAAGTGATATAAAATGTATGAAAGAGTTTATGTGTATGTGAGTGTATGTAAGTGAAACTTTAAAAAAAAAAAATAAACTTTTTAAGATTAACATTACCAACAGAATCATTTATTGTCTGATTAATTAATCCAGACACACATACACACCACACACATACACTTTTCTTTGAAAATCATTTCTTGGAATATTATTATCATGGATTTTTTAAATAAAGAAATACTTTTCAAAAAAAAAACAACAACACTTGTTATTATTTTATCTATAATAATACAACAAACCACACCTAACGATGCATTTACAGATTTGTCTGTGGGTATCGATACAAAAAATTACTAAATAAAAAAATTATTTTTTCTATTATCGAGAATAATTGTTGTTTTGTAAAGATATATAAATCGACTAATCGACAAACGTTTGATCCATTATTTAAAAAACATTATTGTGGTTATTTTGTGTTGACGTTACCTTTTTTTTAAAGAAGAATATTTCATCTTGAAACATGGAAAAATCTAATGATATTAATAATGCTGAATCAACATTGATGGTAAAATCAAATTATTTTCAATTAAAATTTTTACCGATCAACATTTATAAATATAATGTTCAAATAACACCAACAATTCGTCATGAAAATGAAATTATTAATGTTGTAAAAAAATACATTAAACAAAACGTATTATTATCTGAATGTTATTATGAAAATGGTTACATTTATTCACGATCGTTAATCATTTCCGATCAAATTCGTAACAATATTGTAAGTTTGGGAAAAGGTTTTAACAGCAATCGATTTACAATAAATTTAAAAGAAACTGGCCAGCTCAATTCTTTAGATAAAAGTGGAATAAATTTGCAAAATTTTTTTCATTTCTACATGCAAAAGAGCAAAAAATTGATAAATACAGGAATTTTTGTTCAAAATGAATATTCATTTCCAAACGATCGAATTTCAGTTATTGTTGGATTTGGATTTTCAATCATTCCGATGGCCGAACCATTAATTCTCATATCAAGACAAGTAATAACATTTGATGGAAAGATTCAGATTTACGATTATAAATTGTTTTCGGAAGAAGCTGATAAAGTTTTTTCCAATGAATTAAATTGTGGCCCAGTGAAAGAATTTGAATTTTTTAGAAAATGTTGTGAAGAGATAGAAAATTGTGTCGAATCATTCGGAATTAAGATTAATTCGTACGAGACAAACGGAATATTACTTTCTCATCCAAAAATTATTCCAGATTCTCCGGATAAACCATTCTTCAGGAAACCATCTAAGACAATAAATTTTGCCATTCTTTGTTTTCATCCATTCGATTCAGATAAAATGAAAGAATTTGAAGATTCGTTTGTTGAAAAAGCGAAAAAATTTGGAATGAATTTTGAAAAATGTTTCGATACAAAATTCATTGACACTCGAAAAGAGTCGGAAATCGCTGCAGTTTTTCAAAATTTGAAAATTCGTGATATTCATTTTGTTTTCATTGGACTTTCGCAACGTATGTTATTACATTCAATTATAATTTAACAAATTTTTTTTTGTTGAAAACTTAAATTCCCATAATTTAGGTTCTAGGAACGATAATATTTTTGAAAAGATCAAATATAAGGCAGCTAGTGATTATGGCCTAGTCACTCAAATAGTTTTAATTGAAAAATTACAATTGAAAGAACAAAAACCAGAATTTTATGACAGTTTAGCAATTACATCTTGTTTGAAACTAGGTGGCCAACCAAATATAATCGACCAGGCATATTGGAATTGTTTTCCTTTTGAGCCGGAAACTACTATGGTAGTCGGAACTTCTTTTAAATTTTTGAAACTCAATAATAATCGGAAAAATCTCTTCTCACATTCAATGGTGGCATCGATAGATACAGATTTTTGTCAAAACATTTCCATCGAACGTTTTTCACTAAAACCAAATGATGAAAAACTCTTTGAAGAATTATTTGAAGATTTATTAGAGGAATATCATAAAGAACATGGCCAATATCCTAAAAATATTATTATATTTCATGGAAAAAGATATACCGATTTAAAATATGCTGCTAAATCGATTGATGAACGAATAAAAGTGACAAGTTTTTCGATCGATAAATCTTCACCTATTCGTTTCATCAAAAAAAATGACGAAAAAGTTCCAATCGGGATTTGTGTTGACCTTAAATTTCAACAGTCTAATTGTTCGACAAAAGAATTTGCTATTTGCAGTGAAAACGAAAGCGAAGCTGTCGTAAGTAACAAACAAAACAAATCTAGTCAATCATTGAATTTTATTTTTTTTCCCAATAGCGATACAAAACGACAAAATATACAGTCATCAATGATGATTCGGGAATGTCTGATATTCAAATCAAACGTCTTTG